TACTTGATGGATTTATTGCTGAGTTCTACAAGACCTCCAGGGAGGCTATGACACCAATACTCCTAAAACTCTTTAATGAAATTGAAAGGGAAGGAGTTCTTCCTGGGAGCCAGGAAGTCTGACTTCAAAACCAGACAAAGACTCAACTAGAAAAGAAAACTACAGTCCAATCTCCTTAATAAATGTAGATGTAAAAATCTTCAAAATACTGGCAAATAGAATTCAGCAAGTCATCAAAAGGATCATGCATCATGACCAAGTAGGTTTAATTCCAGGAATGGAAGGATCATTCAATATATACAAATCAATAAATATAATACACCACATAAACAGAAATAATGACAAAAGTCACATGATCACATCAGTAGATGCAGAAAAAGCTTTTTAACAAAATCCAGTTTTTATTAACAAAAACCCAGAAGAAAATAGATATAAAAGGACTGTACTTCAATCTGATAAAAGCTATGTATTTCAAACCAATGGCTAACATTATATTGAGTGGAGAGAAACTGAAAACTTTCCCTTTAAAATCAGGAACAAGACAAGGATCTCCACTATCATTACTCCTGTTCAATATAGTACTTGAATCAGCCAGAGAAATAAGAAAGAGATAAATCTGCCAGAGGAAGAGATAAAAGGAATATGTATTGGAAAGGAAAATATCAAGTTATATTTACAGATGACATGATTCTTTACACAGAGGACCCAAAAACATTGCATCAAAAGACTCCTAAAATTAATAAACAAATTTAGCAAAGTAGTAGGATAGAAAATCAATGCACACAAATCAATAACATTCTTTCTTGTGTATCAATAATGAATTCACTGAGGAAGAAATTAGGGAAAGAGTATTATTCACAATAGCACCAAAATAAATTACATATAGTACTTAGAAATTAATCTAAGCAAGGAACTGAAAGACCTCTACAATGAAAACTACAGTATTCTAAAAAAGGAGATCAAAGAGGATATCAGAAGATAGAATGATGTCCCCTGTTCCTGGATAGGCATAATGAATATTGTCAAAATGGCAATACTTCCAAAACTGAAATACAGATTTAATGCAATCTTAATCAAAATACCAATAGCATTTTTCACAGAACTAAGGAAAAAAATCCTAAAATTAATATGAACTAAGAGCCCAGAATAGCAAAATCAATTCTGGGTAACAAGGACAAGGCAGGTAGCAGCACAATACCTAACTCCAAGTTATACTACAAAGCTATTGTGATAAAAAAAAAAAAAAAAACAGCATGGTACTGGCAAAAAAACCCCCAGATTTAAGGATCGATGGGACGGATTAGAAGATGCAGAAACAAATCCAATCACACTCACCTACTTTATCTTTGATAAAGGGGCCAAACACCTTCACTGGAGGAAAGATAGCCTCTTTGACAAATAATGCTGAGAAAACTGGCTTTCCACATACCAAAAATTGAATTTAGACCCATATCTCTCACTGTGTATTAAGTTTAAATTGAAGTGGATCAAAGATCTAAATAATAAAACGGAAATCCTTAATCTAATGGAAGATAGAGTAGGTCAAACTCTTGAAGACATAGGCATAGACAAGTACGTTCTCAATAGAACTCCAGTCATACAAGAAATAACAGCGAGAGTCAACAAAACGGATCATATCAAATTAAAAACAACCACTAGAGGGAAGAGACAACCTACAGAATGAGAAAAATTTTTTTCCAGCTATACCTTGGATAAAGGACTCAAAGAATATACAAAGAACTAAAAAAAATTAGAACCCCCTAAATAAAAGATCCAGTCAAAAATATGCAATGGAAATAGACATTTCTTAGAAGAACAAATTTAAAAGGCCCATATTACAAGAAAAATGTTCAACTTTGCTTGCCATTAGAGAAATGCAAATTAAAACAACACTGAGATTTTATCTTAGTCCAGAAAGAATGGCCATCATCAAGAAGTCAAATAGTAACAAATGTTGGCAAGACTGTGTGAAAAAGGAATCTTCCTCCGTGACTGGCAGGAATGTGAACTAGTATAAACCATTATGGAAATCAATATGGAGATTCCTCAAAAAAACTAAAAATATAAAGTTCCTTTCAATCCAGCTATTCCCCTAAGAGGCTTCTTCCTGAAGATTTGAAGCCATCACATTATAATGATACATGCATACCATTATGTACAGCATTACAATTTATAATAGGTAAATCTTGGAAGCAGCCTGTATGTCCATCAATAGATGAATAGATAAAGAAAATGTAGTATCTATGCATAATGGAATACTACTTTGCTATAAAGAAAGATAAGTTTGAACCCAATGTAGGAAAATGGATGCACCTTGAAAACATGTTAAATGAAATAAATCAACCACACATGCTTAAATACCAAACAGATTCTTTCATATGAGAAATCCAAAGTATAAGTAAAGTAACAAGAAAAATAAAAAATAACTAATAGGAAATGGAGAGAGATCTTTTGCAAGTATGAAGGGGAACAGGAAATGGAGGGAAGGGGGAAGGGGTTAAAGGGAAAGGGATGCAAAAAAGAATTAAGATACGTCATGTACATGTGCCAAATACCCACAATGAAAGTGGTCATTATGTACTGCAAACATATACTAATAAATTTTTGAAAAATATATGAGATGCGCCTGAAGCATCTTATAATGAAAGAAAGTGAGAAAGAAAAAGAAACAGATGGTTATAAGGAGATAGAGAAGCAATAATCTGAAATCTAATCTTACATCCTAACTGAGGTACTGAAATAAGCGTGGATCTCCATGTTGTAATGCTGAGGATAACCAGTTTTTAGAACAAGCCACCTGAAGAAATGTTTTGTGACTGAATTAAGTATGTGAGAGCATAGTTTGTTTCATGAAAGGAACTAGTGAAATTAGTAAGTAGGGAGAAGGGGAGATGAGAGAGGAGATGGGAGAGTGACCCCAAAACAGAATGGGAGCAAAATGGGAGTGAAGGCAGAATTTATGGATGACAGATATATATATATATATATAAAAGTGCAAGCAAGTTTTCTGGAAAATGTAAATACAGAGAACAGAAGGGTGGGAGACCAGTCTAGATGAATTTGGACTAGGCAAACAGTAATCATGCTTTTGGTGGACTCCAAGGCTGTATGAGCAGGCCAGGGAGTTCCCAGGATAATCGTTACCTGCTTAGAAGCTGCAGTAGTCAGGGTGAGTTGGGGAATTTAGGCCTCTGGAAAGAATCATCAGTGATACTTAGGAATTTTTATTTCTTTTTTTTTAAATAATAGAATTTTGAAATGTTTTCACTTGAGATTCAAAATACCATGAATTTTGCCCATGTTTACACAACACCCCATTCTTCTGACTATGACCCCATGGACACACGCAGGTACATTAACCCAGGCTGTGGGAATCAGGAGATCTTACTTCATCCATTCTTGGTTACAGTAAATGGCCCAGTAGGTGGGGATTGGGTCAAAGGCTAGCCAGATTCCCCCAGAGATTTCTCTAGCAGGACCTAAAGAAGAGAGGTGCTGTGGCACAGCTGTGATGCTAGAGCTACTGGAAGTACTATTTCTCCCTCCTTGAGGGAGGAGATGACATTTGAGTTCCTGGTTCCTGCCTCAAATCCCCAGAGTAACCTGGGTTTCCATGGGCTGTATCTGTCTGTGAACTAAATCTCCCCTTTCCTGCTTATTCAGAGTTTATAAATAAATAAATGCCCTAGAACATGCAGTCCAAGGAAATGCCTCCAGTTTAAGAAAATATGCTTTGAAGTTTCAGCAGGGTCCTTGGCTAAAAGTTACACTAATTCAAAAGCCTGTCAAGCCAAGATCCCCAGAGAATTTAGGTGGCACACATTTTAAAATTCAGGAAATTCACATTTAGCATTCTTCTTGAGGCCAGGTGAGATTAAATTTACGATTTGTATTTTCTTTTCCAGAAGCCAATGTGTCATGAAATCCCTTTAGACTTTTGAGGCAGTAGGACATACTTTAGATAGAGGCTAGGCAGTGTGGGCGGGTCCATCGTTCATTGTGGTCTTTTAAACCTAAGAGACCTCAGTGTGGAAGCGGACAGGCCATTGTTAGTGGCTGGATGCCGAAAGATCAGTTGAACAGATTACGGAAAGAGGGCCAAGAAAGTACTGTGACACGGCACAAGGCAGAATAGGGTTTGCATGGCTGCTACTGTGTTCCAAGCAACCTTGGAGATATGGTTCTATTTAACTCATCTTGTTCTCCAAGGTCAGAGAGAATAAAGCTAAACACTCTCATAACAGATTAGGGAGACAAGGGAAAGGGCATTGTCCTAGGTTAGTCCCTCTTACTGGCAAGTAGATAAAAGGCTCTAGGATCTATTTGGGGAGGGAGGCAAGCAGTCTTGCGGTTTTATTAGATGCCTGTTGTAAGATCTTGCGCTCGTGAATTATCCAGGCTTTCCCAACCTACATTTAAACCAGTGCTTGTTTTGAGAAGACCAAGCTACTGGGTCTGAAGGGGGAGTGATGTTTTGGGTACTCAAACCACCCAGTATAATCTCTGGAAAAAATTTTAAGACTAAATTACCTTATCTTCAAGTTTTTCAACTATTCTTTTTGAAACAAAAATTCTGAGGATGAAACCCAGGGCTTCTCAGATACTAGGCGAGCACTCTACCACTGAGAAACACCCCCAGTGCCCCCCAAATTCTACTCTTACTAACATAGCCAAAGACAGCCATTTAAGTAAAATGATGCCAAGAGTTAAAGACTATGGAGAAGTATTATCCCAACAGAAGTTGTTCATTAGCCTTGTTAGGGAATTCAGATTTTAGGATTCTTAATATAAAGTACTTCATTTAAAATAAATAGTATTATTATGCAAGAGCTAGGGAACAAGTGGAAGGGAGAAGGGGTCAGGGAGGGTAACGTAAAGATAAATATGATCAAAAATATGTTATATGCCTGTATGAAAATACCATATTGAAGCCCACTGTTTTGTAAATTGAGTATGCACTAACAAAAATGTATTTAAGAAATAATAGGCTAATTTGCCAATAAAATTTAGATTGTATGATAATTTATTTAAGGGTTTTACAAAATATTTTATGAAAACTGCACATACATAGGAAGTACAGTAAAATTGAACAATTTACATTCTAATTTAAACTTTGTGCAAAGCATGTCGGTGACTACCCTTATGCTGTGTTCATGTAGTAAAGCTGTAAGGAAAACAATCATTCATGCAAAAAATTTTCAACATACTCTATTATAAAATACTACAGGGTTGAGATCTATTTTAGGATAGAACTGAGCTCAAATAAGCCAAAAACTGAATTCCATGTTAGCCAGTGGGTGGCACCAAAGTACATCTGAGAGCCAGGAAAAGGGAAGGCAGTTTCTAAAGGCAAAAATAAATGCTGTAAATTCAGTCTTATTGCTGTAACATGGAATTCTATATTCTATTGGAGATCTCAGAGTATATATTTGTCTTATTGTATAATTCTTTGTCATCGTTGATGTTCTTCTTCTTGCCCCATCCCAGGAAAAACTTTCTTTATATTTTTCTACCTATTTACAAGTGCTACGTTTTTTGTTAATCAAGGAGTAGGCCTTAGCTGGAAAACAAGATCGTGTGTGTTATGGAACACACAGTGGAAAACTAGAAAGATTTTTGGTTGAAAATATCCCAGATTTAGTATTTCTTGGCAGCTTTTTCTTTCAAGAAGAAGCAACAGTTAAGTTTTCCTAGCTTGGTCAAATATCTTCAATATTGGAATCACAAGTAAGCCACACATCTTGTCATTATTTAAATCCCTTGGGCCTTGTAATCAAAGGCACACATGCAGATTGACTTCAATGTGCTATGTCGTGTTCATTCGTGGCAACAGATAGGAACTGAGGATTTTCACCCATGTAGTCAGCTTTTCCAGATCAGCTTCCATCTATGTAGCAATCTGCAGTGGAGGAGCCAGTAGACTTTGGGCTTACTTAGAAATTTTGGCAATCAGAAGCATTCTGAGGGGCAGTGTGGCTTCAATCCAAGTGTTAGGGGAATTTACCATCTTCTCCCAGAGAGCAACTTCCTCTGAAGTGGAATCCATCCAATCTACTTCAGTCCCATAGCTTTTACCTGAAAAAAACAAAAAAAGGAAACTTTGCATTTAAAATGAATAACCCATTAGAAGACAGACCTGGGGCACAAGACAAGAAAGTGTGATTATTTGGCCATCTGAGTGACTCCATTGTTGAGATCGTTCCCATAAGTCCAAGAACAATGATTTCTCTTCACATGAATGTAAAAGCTGGATGAAAATGTATCAGTGGCATGAGAGAGTTGAAAGGTTTCTGCACTGGGTTGGAGGTGACACTTGATGATATCTAGGAAGCATGGCTAAGGCTTTAATGCCAAGCAGACTCAATTTAGAACCTTGAATCCTTCTGTTAGGAGCTCTGTCACTTAATTTTTTTGGCTATCAGTTCTTTTGGAGATAATAGTAAATAGCTCATAGAACTGTTATGAAGATTAAATGAAATAATGCAAATGAAACATTTAATACAATGACTAGTGCTCCATAAATATTAGTTATTATTATTCAAAGCACACCTTTTTAGCCCTGAAGGATCACAAATGTGTTTTTGGGGGAAAGTAGTATTAAAGGCATTTCTGTCCCCTACCCCTTGCCCCAACAAAATTTAAGCTCTATATGACAGACACTGTACCCTGTTAATCCTCATATCCAGAGGCCCTGGCACACAGCCTGGCACTCCTTTACTCATTCATTTCATTAAACTTAATGGATACAGAGTATCTATTTTCATTAGAAAGAAACAAAGAAATCCATTTCTAATGTCTCCAGGAGAATTACCTGTTCCAAAGCCAATCCGAAGACCTCCTAAAAACTGGTTGGTTAATTTGTAATGGTCCCAGACAGTGAGCTCCACACAAGCTTCCATCAGATCTTCAGGTCGGAACCCATCGTACACCATAGTGTGGTTGAAAATGGGGTTGTTTGTTTTCCCTACAGCTCTTGTCTTCTGGCGACTTTTCCTACTGGTATCTGGAAGAATGGTACTACATACAAAAAGGGGCATTACTGTGAGACCGTTTCAGTACAACAGTGAGCTTTTATGCTTCCAGTACCCTACAGCACAGCTACTAAGGATTGGTAATGGAGGGGAAAAGACTGGCGAGATAGCGCTGGTGGTTTGGTTGAAGGTAGGGAAAGGTGATTCATGCTGGAAAGACTGTGGAAATAGAGCTGGGTAGACTTAGTGTGAATCCTAACTCTGCTACTTATTGGTTGCACATTTTAGGGAAAGTTGCTTAATCTCTCACACACTTGTTTCCTCATCTACAAAGTGCGAATGGTGATATCAATGTCAAAAAGTTGATATTAGTATTAAATAACACAAAATTAGAATAAATAACACCAAAAACACTTATGGACAGGCATGGTACTTGCATTTAGTAAGCTCTAATATGGTAGCAATTGCTTGAGGATTTCTATAAAATTTAGAAGTACAGGCTATTCCTGATTAGTTAGGATAGCCAAAGGAATTACTATTACAGAGCTGAAAAAGAAAACTCTCAAATTTGCTAGATTTGAATTTGAATGATAATACATTTTTTCTCTCACTTGTTTTATTTAAGATAATCATCAAGTGAACTTTTGCATTCTGTTTTGTTTTTTGTTTTTGGTTTTTCTCCGGTACCAGGAACCGAACTCACGACCTTGCGCCTGCCAGGCAGGCGCTTTTGCCGCTGAGCTAAATCCCCAGCCCATCATCAAGTGAACTTTAATCTACCACATCTCTTATAAAGGCACAAGGTCTAAGAGTGGTTTCAACATGGCAGACTGACCTGAGTTCAAAAATTTTACTGGCTGACATCTATGAAAAATACATATAGGATGAATCATAAATAATGTCATATATATTAAAATCTATGTCACATATTTAAATAACTACTATTTGTCTTCTAGTAGAATCTGTATAGATAAAATTAGAGGCAACAAGGAGATTATACTAATCTACCTAGTTATTATTTACTACATGCCATGTACTTTAAATGTATAACAGAAAAAAAGTTTGCCACTTAAAAGCCCAAACTATCTTAAGTTCTAATGATCTAACTCTTAGTAAGGGTCTGTGTAGCAAGTCATTTTCCAAATATTTGCATTCTGATGCAAGGAATCTTTGCAAATGGGCCACAGAATATGAGAGACAAAGAATTTCTCCTACTCCACAGAAAAGCCAAAGAACGTGACATTTGCCATCAGAAATATAAATCTCACCAACAGATATATCCCTAAAATACCTTATATATCTGAGTTTGAGGACTCAGTTTCATCTGTATCTATAATCTCTTAGTATTTTGGGTTTTTTTTTTTTTTTGAGGGGGGGGGGTTGTTTTTTGAGACAGGGTCTCGCGATATAGTTCAGACTGGCCTTGAAGTCACTCTGTAGCCCAGGTTGGCCTTGAACTTGTAGTGATCCTCCTACCTCAGCCTGTCCCCTCTTAGTATTATGATTTTAAAATTCAGTGAAGCCTTAGAAATTCATGTTACAGATTTGTAAATTTCATGTCTCTGTTTGTTCCAAGTAAACTCATCAAGCCTATGAGTTTTAGCATCACAGACACTATGAGTTGGTTTTGCTGCTGAAACCAACCAGCAAAGGAGAAGCTACAGTACACCTGAAGAAAGCCAAGTAATTAATGCTATTACCATTTCACAAAAGAATTTAGATGGCTTCCCCTTAGCAGCGGAAGATCAAAGCATTCCTTCACCCAGATGTGCACTTCTCCAGTTGTAGGAAGCTTTTTACCTATAATTTTAAAAAAGGAGAGAAAAGTTTTATAGCTATTTGTCTCTTAACAATAACATGTCCGAAGATGTCAGCCTAAAGATGGTCTAGCTCAAGGGCTAAACTACACACTCTAAGCTGTATCTTTCATAGTCTGGCTGTACTGAGCTCAGATATCTGTATAAAAATAATTCCTAAGAATGAAAAAAAACATACTGATTCCAAGTATAGAGTAACTCATCATTTCTTTTTGGATTTTCCTTGGTTCAGTAAGATCAGACAGCAGGGATGTGAGTCATCCATTTACAATTATACTCAAAGCATCTCAGTGAAATGAATAATCCCTTCGAACACTAACACCAGTATCAGCTGGTATTGGTGAAAGGCATTTGAATATGTTTGAGTGTAAATTAACCAAAATTGGTACTGGCTAAGGGATAGTCTATATTCTTATTAAAAGTGTCAAAATATTTTATAGGGATATTGCATATATATACACACAATAGTTAATACCATAAGTAGGGAATTACTAACAAGTTGACTTAGTCTGGAGTTGCTATCTGGACTGGGTGCACATGGACAAAGGTATGCTATCAGATTTTTCGGCATGGCTTAGAGCAACAAATTGACCAGGCAGCATTTTGTGAACATCTGTAATGTTCTCATCCCTATGGTGTCACTAAATATACAAGGAATACAAGAAATAATCTATGCCTTCAGGAAATGTTTACAATTAAGCAAGAGAAATTAATTCAAATTAAAACCATGAGTATATAATGTAGAGAGAAATGCAAAGGTATTGCTGCAGTGTTCTAGAAAATGATGTGATCAGTGAGGGTTGATATAATCCTCAAAAAGCTTTATGGAGGAGATGGGACTTCGTCTAAGACTTGAACAGGCCAAGGAGAAGAAAAAGCCATTCCAGGGGAGAAAAACTGTATGAGTGAAAATGCAGACCAGGCGGAACCCAGCACAACACACAATTCCCTGGGTCTCTCAACTACCAAGTGGTAGGGGAATAAGACATGAGGTTGGCATTTTTATGCATGTTGACCATAAATTATAGGATACAAATTATATGCAAAAGAATCTTCCTTCTAGGAAGATCCAAATGTCACAAGATGATGGTCTGGCAGCAATCTGGCCCAAATATATGCTTTGCTTGCCCTTCAATTTTTTTTGCAGGGGGCGGGGCATTGTCTCACTACATAGTTCAGGCTGGCCTTGAACTTGCAGTGTTCCTCTTGCTTCAGCCTCCTGAGTTCTGGGATTCCAGGTGTGCACCACCATGTCCCGTACCCTTCAACTTTTTAAAAACTTAATTAGAATATCTTATCTTACTTCAGCTACTGCCCTTACCATCTATTATTTTCTTCATATCCCTTGTTGTACTGCCTGGTTACTAAAAACGTTTGAGCCTGAAATCCTCAATTTAGCCATAACACTCATACAGATTCTAAGGAAACTACTTTGGGGAGACTTGCTTGGGAGATAGCGCAAGGGCTGGCATTCTTTTCCTGCCAGTTTTTGCTCCTGGCAGGAAGACCTGAGGCCCCAAAGTCAAGAATAATACAGTAAACTTGAAGAAAAAAGCTTTATCCCTTAATAAGACTCTGAGAATGGAGACTCAATGAGCTCTAAGTTCTTAGGGAGTTCCTATGAATATTTCTAGTTCCCACGTGGGAAAGAGATGACTCAAGTTCCATGCTGTTTTGTTTTTTTTTTTTTTTGGTACCAATTATTGAACTCAGGACCTTGCACTTGCCAGGCAGGCACTATGCCACTGAGCTACATCCCTGGCCCTCAAGATCCATTCTCATCACAGCAGTATGAAGACACTCAACTTCTGAATACAGGAAAGGCTGTTTACATTGTGTAGGTACAAGTTGTTGGAGAAGGAGGGGCAATTTAAAAGAAAGACTGCATATTCGACTAAAAAACTGAAAATATTCACAGCAATAGAAGGTTCTACTCTGAAAGTCTTTTGAGAAGACTGGGATAAGGAAAGCACACGGATGTGAGTAGAAAATCATTACATACCAGGAACTGGCTCTGGAACATACTGGAGAGCTAGCTTCATTTCACCTCTGTTTTCTGCTTCAAGGGCAACTGGTGCTGTCTGAAAAATAAAGGGGAATCAGTAGTTGCAAGACACAGGGTTTTAAAAATCTTGTTTGTGGGTACTCTGCTCCCAAACCATCTGGCCCATTTCGGAGACTATAATTATTCTTGAGAACCCTGAACTCAAATTGACCTCTGTATCGGAGATAGGCTGTTGGTTTTATAACTGGAAAAGCAATGCTGTATGTCTTGGAAAAGCTTGCAGGGTGCCCAAAAATATTCCATGGTCTTCAGTCTCAAAAATGGTAGAGTACTCAGAATGGTTTGCTTGGAGATGCAAAAGTGTCCCCAAAATGTTCATTTTTATCAGAACACACACATTTTGTTAGTCATTCAGTGTGTAATCTTATATTTTCAAAGCTGTATTAACCTGACTGTTAGAGACTAAAAGCATAGGAGTCTGTAAGAATAACAAAGATTGGACAATAACTTAAAGATATGTATGTTCTTTTCAAGCATAAGAGAGATGGGCTTACATTCAAACTCTGGTTGGTTAGGGCCTTAGTTCCCAAAGGGGTGTGCAGCAGAAACCTAGAGGAGGCTAGTTAAAGCTAAGATGTTTGTGTCGGTTAAGGAGGTGAGTCATCTTGACTGGCATGGGGACCTAGTCTGGATTCATAGAGCACACTTCTGTGTGTGTCTGGGTGGATCATGGGGCGGTGGCGTTGGCGTCTAACTCTAGACCCTCACCCCTTCCTTGCCAGGATTGTTTGCCTGCCCTGCTTGCCAGCCACACCACAGACTAGCATCTTTGCCATCAGGTCTTCCACGGTGATGTTTCTGCCTTGGAGTCAGTTGACTACGAGTGGAATCTCTAGAAACTGAGAGTCAAATTAACCCTCCACTTTTTCATGTTGCAGGTGTCAGGCACTGTGTCCCAGAGACGGGAAAGGTAATGCAATGCATAGACATCATCTGGGAATGCATACCCAGAGGCCGTGGGCAGAGCGAGAAATAAGTGATTAAAGTGCTTTTCATGCAACATTTGGGAACTATTTATTCAGTGGAACTGCTTTATTATGAACGAGCTATGAGTGAAATATACAGTGAATGTTTAAATTTTTAAAAATTTATTATACTTAAAGACACATTGCCATTAATCCCACTCAAAATAGTCCCCCTTGGGCTGCCCACTGAGGACCCCTTCTGTCTCTCTTAGACAGCTTTCTTTCTCTCAATAAATACTTCCTACCCTTAAAAAAAATCCCCCCTTTCTTCAAAAATATTTTCCCACCATTTTTGCCACTTTCTAAAGCAGTTCTGGAAGTCCTCTTTCCTGAGTGTCTTTAGGAGATGTGCTAGAACATGGTGAACACTGCTCCTGAAGGCCATCCAAAGGAAGGGGAGGTGTACTTACTGGATCTGGCACTGTGCAAATTCTGGCTCTTCTCCAAACCCAAAATAACCATGAAAGGTAAATGTTTTTAATCGGTTCAGGACTTCCAGGCCGTCGTAACAGCACAACCAAAAACACTCAGAAAAGAGGACTTCAGAACAGCTTCAAAAGTAGCGAGAAGATGGGCTGTGTTGGAAGTGAGGCTGAGTATTTTGAGAGAGATTAATGGCACTTTGTCTTTTATTGTACTAAATTCCTAAAAATGGTTTACTATTCACTGTGTTTTTGATCCACTTCAGAGATACCAAATTTGTATTGTTTGCATGTATCACTTCCAGCTATAGTAGACTAGCTTGGATGAAATGCACCCTCACACTGAGAAAAATTAAAAATGCAGGATTAAAATAATCAATTTGAAAATGTTAAAGCATTATTGAAACAGAAAAAGGATTGAAATGGACACGATTTTTTTTTTTTTTTTTTTTGAGGTAGGGCCTTACCATGCACTTCAGGCTGGCTTTGAACTCACAATGATCTTCGTGCCTCAGCCTCCCAAGTGCCGGGCTAGCTAAGTGGACAAGATCTTAGAGCCTAACATTCTCCGCTGCTTCTCACTTTGAAGCCTCAGCTGCTTTCTGCATAGTGCCAAACTGAGAACATAAAAAGCCTAGCGGAGAGACGCTGATAGGCTGAGCAGAGCTTTTAGCGTCAGTGTTACCGGGGAACCTGTTCTGTGCGTGTTCTTGGGTGGTCTCAAAACTAACTCAGTGAGAAACCTGGGGAACAGGTTCCCAAAAGTTGTGTTTCATCAAGTCCTTCTGATGAATCAGATGCATGCTAAAATTTGAGGACTACTTCCCTAGGTGTTCAGTCAAAACTCCTAAAGAGCCACAGCCTATAAATTCCAGCAAATAACCACTAGGCCAGAAAACTGAACATGACCTTCAAGCCAGCTCATTCCCAGACTAGATTAAGGTTCTAGTTCTATTCTCTCAGGAGCAAAATAAACCCTCTCAAGTTATCCCTAGAGTTTTTCCATATATAAAGCTTCACAGGAAGGAAAATGAACAGGCACATTAAGACAAGGGATGAAGTGATCAAATGAGGATTTAAGAAGAAACAGCTAAGAGACTCACAAATGATTATTAAAATTTTAAGATACACACTTGAAATAACTGGGATTGCTAGTTTTGTTTTGTTTTGTTTTGTTTTGTTTTTAGAAACAGGGTCCCTCTACATAGTCCAGGCTGGCCTTGAATTTGCTATGTAGCCAAAGGTTGCCTCAAACTCAGGGTGATCCCTCTGCTTCAGCCTCCCAAGTACTAGGATTACAGGCATGCACCCACCAAACCTGAGTTGTGATTGCTGTATTTATAAAGACAATGTTTTAGACAGAAATGAAATCAAAACAGAGTCAAATGAAGATCTGAATAAAAATAAATAAATTTTATATTGAAGTTGAGTTTAAACTACAGATTAGAAGAAGATTAAATAATTGAACTGAAAGACAGGTTAGAAAAAACTAGCCTGAAGCATAGAGAAGAAGTGAATATAAAATATAAAAATGAGGATAAAAGACATATGAGACAGAGTTACAAGGTAGAGTACACATGTAATTAGAAGTTCCAGAAAGGCTGGGAAAAATTAGGGGAAAATCAGTACTTGAAGAAAGAACTGCTGAGAGATCTTTAAAATTTATGAAAGATACCAAGACCCAAATCCAAGGAGCTCAGTAAACACAAAACAGGATAAATACAAAGAAAACTATGCTTACATTCATATCAAATCCATTAAAAATAAAAGACAAACACGAGAGATAAAAAGATACACAACCTTCAAAGGAACAAAAACAAGATTAATAGCTGACTTTGCAATAGAAATGACAAATCAGAATACAAGTCAGAATATAACATCAGATACAATGTCACAACATCTTCAAAGTGTCAAGAGAAATAGTTGCTGACCTAGCAACTAAGCAGAAATATCCTTCAACAACGTATGTGAAGAAAGAGCTGTGGCTATAGCTCAGCAGCACAATGCCTGCCCAGCAAGCACAAGGTCCTGAGTTCGATTCCCAGTACCTCAAAAAAAAAAAAAAAAAACAATGTATGTGAAAAAGATATGATACAATGAAAACCCGAGAGAATCTATTGCCAGTAGATAAGCACTAAGAGTAGAACTAAAACAAAGTCTGTGGGCACAAGGAACAACTTTGCATGGAGGTTCAGGAAGGGATGCAGAGAAATGGGGAAGCAAGCAGGGCAAATCTAAATAAATAGATTCTTAAACAGTAGTGTCAAACGGGATTTAAAATTTCTGTACAATCAACATATGACTAAAAATGCCACAAAAGATAGGAGAACAAATAAATGAAGTTAAAGTGTTCTTAGCTCCTTTCCTTATCCTGGAAGTCATACATTTTTGTTGTTGCTGGTACCAAGGATCAAACATAGGACATTGTGCATGCTCAGCAAGCGCTGTCACTGAGCTACGCTCCAACCTGTATATTAGACACTTTTAATTCAAAGATGAATACTGTAATCTCTACGTTAACCAGTAAGAAAGAAAAAACTATACCTGATTTAGTAATTGACAAGAAAATGGAAGTATATGATAATTAATCCAAAAGAAGGTAATCATAGAAATAATAAGAAAAATACTACAAATATTAAGATTAGTAATACAAATATTAATCTAATAATATAAATAGCAGATTTGTACCCAAACATATTAATATTTGCATCAAGTATACTTGGGCTAAATGATCTAATTAACAAATATTTTCAGACTGAAAAAAATTGAAACTATTGCCTATAGGAAACATATCTTAACTACAAGAATTCAGAAAATTTGAAAATTAAAGGACTGAAACAAACTTGTGACTATGCGGAAGCTGACACAGCTATACTAATACAGACAAAATAGGCTTTAATACTTTCTTTTTCTTCTTTCCCTCATCCTAGTAGTTCCTTCCTTTGAGCAATTTCTTCTATTCTTACAGCTGGTAATCTGAGCAACTTCACTGAAGATAACAATATGTAATATAACAACCACTGTTAATCCCTATCATTTGGCTTGAAACCCTGTATCATTTTTAATGTCCTTGCTTTGTGTTGTTTGCATTTTGCTATTCTTTTTCTTGTACTATTTTCTTTAAAATAAAGTAAAAAAAAAAAAGTCCAAAAAAAGTAGACTTTAAGGTAAAAAATATTACTAGAGATAAAAAGTGTATTTTTCAATGACAAAACTGTTACTCCATTAGAATAAAATAATTCTAAATGTGCATGTACTTCATAAGGTAATCTCAAGATATATAAAAAATAAAAAACCTAAAAGTACAAGCTAAATCCATAATCATATCTCTCTTAGTAATTCATAGTACACACAGACATGAAATCAGTAAGGATAAAAAAAGATTTTATCAGCCATTATTGACTTAATTGATATAAACCATTATATCCAACGTTACTTTCTTTTCAAGTGACACATGGGACATTTATCAAAATCTGACCATATGTTAGGCTTAAAGTATGTCTCACACTTCAAAGGATCGAAGTACTTAAATGACCTTCCTGAAATCTCAGAGACATTTGTGCTAGGTGATTTAAACATTCTCCCTAAGTCTTTCCAGTCTTTCTCCACTGAATATGCAAGCTAAGTAAGTCCAGCCCTAGTTTAAAATGTTTCCAAATTACAATCAGACTCTGAGTTAACTGCAACTGAGCCATTTCCAATACAGCACGCCACAAACCAACCAACCAACCAACCAGGGAACTCTGAACTTACCTTCCGCTTTAGAGGGTACCACTTCAATTGTTTATTCTGTTTGTTGTCCCAGTCCCATGTTTCCAAATCAAGTTCCACCTCCCCTAGGAAACTATTACGCTTAAATGTGTCCCGATGCCAAACAGACAGATTCAGCTTCTGTGTCTTTAAGGTCTGCTTTTCAATTTTATACTGGAGTTCAAAGAAGAAAATTAAAATGATGAATAACATTACATTATGCCAAAGTTATGACAGAGGTGAAGAGAAAAGTCATCTGTGAAGATCAGATTTTCTCAGCTATTAGGTTTCAAGTCCCCCAAATATCGCAAAGTCACCTTATTCTAAGTGTCCTGTTTCTAAGAGCTAAAATCCATCTTTCATAAAAGCTGACATTCTTTCCCCTCTGGAAAAGCAAACCATGGCTCAAATATCATAGCTGGTAATGGCTTTCTAAAAAGCCAATCATTCCATTTTGCTGGATATTTTTAGACTAGATATAACACAAATCAGGTTCAGTCTGTTTTCTACCCAAGGATAAGATACTTTTAAAAGTGTATTTGTTTTTTAGAGCATTGTTAGGTTCACAACAAAATTGCGTGGAAAGTCCAGAGTTCCCATACAGTCTGCCCCACATATGCACTTCTCACTGTTAGCATCCCACAAGGACAAGACAGCTTTCAAAACAAAGATACACTTGGTTTGTTCCAGCTTCACATAGTCAAGTAGACAGGATTTGGTATCCTAACCATTTTTCATCTCAAATATAGTCAGACCTTGATTATATATAATCATGGAAGGAATAATAGTGCTTCTAAAAATAATCTCCATCTGGCTTTATGACATAGTACTTGAATGTCCATTTTGGTTGTAGTAAACCTGCCTTTCTCTGAGTGTACCATGTAAATTAGCTGGCTTTTCCTGAGTATAGGGTTGAAGTAGCTGACCCAGAAATAGCTTGGTTAGTGGGGAATGTCATAGTCAAATGATAATTAAAAACTTGCGATAGAAGCCAGGAATGGTGGCGCATGCCTGTCATTCCAGCACCTGGGAGACTGAGCCAGGAGGAGCACCATGAGTTTGAGGCCAGCCTGGGGTACCTAGTGAGTTCAAGCTCAGCTTATACTACAAAGCAAGACCCTGTCTCAAAAAAAACCCCAAAAACTTGCTTTAGAAAATCCACAAGTTGTTAATCTAACTACAGATGATTGAGAATTCATTTAACTATTTCTTCTTTTCCCAAAGGATAATAAAAAATTTAAGTTTTCAGAAAGATAGAAAAAAGAACACCTTATATATATATGTATAAAATTATATATATATGTGTGTGTATATATATATATATAATTTTTTCTTTGTACCGGGACTCAAACTGAGGACCTTGCACTTGCCAGGCAGGCACTTGTGCCACTGAGCTATCTCTCTGGCCCTATTTTTAGTTTTAAATGATCTGTTAATTACCTCAAAGCAAGCATAATCCAGTTTGGAGGAGGGGGAGAAAAAAGAATGTGGGTATATGAGTGAGGCTTATTATCCATACATCTTTCCTTCCTATAATGTTTTTGGTACTTATCGTACATACTGTACTACTAATCAATATTTGTTAATGTGTGCTAATCACCCCATACATATTTACTCTTTTAATGTCCACAACTACTGAAGTAGGTAAGTATTATTATTTCTCTCTTGAAAGTCCCAAAACTATCATTATCCCCTATTTCAGATCTGAGGTGCAGACATGTTCTTTGCCCAGAGACACGGTATACATACACCACAGTGTAGGTGCCTGCCTTCACGAAACTTCACATTTAGTGTCAAGGTGGAAAATCAAACAATAGTTTAAGTGCCGAGTATTCGAACAACCTATCGTTAAGCCATGTAATTAAGGTTATTAGGACAGACTCTTAGAGGAATAAGTGTTTAAAAGTGTGTAGAAGGGAGTCAGGGAAAGAATGTGGGGAGACTATTACAGCCTCAGGGAACCGAAAGGCACTACAGTGAAAGCAGATGTACTTCCTTCAAAGCACAGAAGGGAGTATAGGGTGACCAGAAAGGATTATGAAAGAATGAGGGTGAGGATGGAGCTCAGGTTGTGAAGGGTCTCTGTGCATGTTATAAAGGAGGAACGTGCCCTTAGGGTAAAGGAAATCTTGAAAGATTTTAAGCAGAAAAATAATGATCAGAATTGTGCTATAGAAGATAATTCTGACTGTAACACTAAAGTTTATCCACTGTACATCCTCAAGCAAATTTCCTTATTTCTCTAGGCTTCATTTGCCTGTCTGACAGGCAGCTTCACTTGTATGTCTATGACATGTAGCTAATACCTGCCTGCGGGAAATGCACCAGGAATGCATCAGATTGTGTATATACATTCATTTGTATCATCTCATACAAATGCACATCCTCACAAAACATTCATTCCTTTCCTCTTTTCTCTTAGTGAGTGACTTCGTGCAGATAGCATCCAGGAAGACAGGTCTATTTCAATGCACAGGTCACCACTTAGGATTTTCCTGCATAGAGAATTTATAGATACCCGCAATATCTCGTTAAACACAGGGTTCAAGGTTTTCTTTGCAACAAGTGTTTTCTTCTTGCCCATTTTGCCTTTGTCCGGTAACAAGTAGGTCTTTACATATCTAAAAAAGAGATGTGAAGCGACAAGAAGTTTAGAGAATATAAAAATAACGTTCCCACCTCTACTTCCTCTACTTTTAAAAACACAATGAAAACTGACCACAGAAATTATTTTACAACATTGAGAAAAACAATAATTAATAAATGTTCCCACTAACACCTTTATACTTTTAACATTTAAAGAGATTTCAATGGAATGAATCATTTAGTATTGTTCTGAAGATTTTTAAAGGAAATTTCCTGAATTCATTGTTTTCCTTTGGCCTTAGTTAATGTGTGTGTATGGGGTGGGGGTAAATTTCTAACTGTTTACTTAAATCTGTTTATTTGTTTCTTATTGAGAAAAGGCTTTGATGCTTATGGTTTTATTAAAGTGTTTGTTACTGTGTTACTGAAAAACATCAGTCTTGGCATGCATCAAATTGAGCAATGGTTGATGCAAAAAAAAAAAAAGAATGTGTTGAATACATTGTTTTTATAATAATAATAAAAAAAGAAAAAAGCTTTGGGCTTGACACAGCAAAATAATTAAAAATCACACTTCCCTTGGACTTTTAAAATATTTCTTTTAACACAGTCACACACAGACACACAGACTCTCCTTTTGGTTACCTTTTCCCTTCCTAGTTCCTATAGGATTAATGGTTTCAAAACTATAAGGAAGTAGGTAACTGCTACTCCAAAATGTACTCACGGGTCTGAACGCTGCTTTTTAACATCTGCTGCTGCTAAGTTCTTACACTGGGCCACAAAAACATGCAGTTCCTTCAGTGACTCCACATAGTCAATTGCAAACTGAATACTTCCTTTCACTTCCAGATTGCCAAAGTCTCCACTATAGACACTCATCACACTGCCACTCACCTGGAAACATCGGAAACACAGTGTTTGTCTCAGCGATACTCTTGAACCCAGTGCAAGGGTCACAGACATAATCCTTGCCTGGCATTATTTCTCTACCTTGCATATAAAACCAGTCAATTTCATATGGGATAAGGATATTAACAGCAACAACCTGATACGATCCATATCACTAGGATTTTTTTTTTAAGTTACTCTTAAAAGACATAGATGAAAAGGAAAATGCAAAGTTATTTAGATGCTGGCTCATTCAAAACAGAGTGATTTTATGGTAGGTGGCATTCAAAGTTCCATTTTTAGGCATGCACGGCATTTAAAATGCTAAAAAAAGAGGATAGGAGAAACCCCAGGCACACAAATCACAGTGACAAATAGCTTAAATTTCCAAGGCACTAAAAAGGAATTTTACCACGTTACCCATCCACTGAATCTAGAAAAATGCTTACTGAGCCAAGCACTTTTGGAGGTCAAGAAGGGTAGAAAATGGATGATTGATGAAGGGAGTTTAAAGACTTCCCAAGGACATATATTAGATTATCAGCAGAAAATCAATTGAAATAGATTTTTTAAAAAGGTTTCAGAAGTGCAAGCATAGTAAGAATTAAAGCACAGCATCACTTGTTCAGCATGCTTGATAATATGTGTACATATCAGGAAAATATTTAGCTAAGTGTACAACAATACACTTACACTTGTGCATTTCTACACACACACTACATGCACACACAGCTCCCTCACTTTATGCAAGAAGCTCCATGTAAAGTCAAATGCTCTTTTTTTTTTTTTTGGTTTTTCTCCGGTACCGGGAACCAAACTCACAACCTTGCGCTTGCCAGGCAGGCACTTTTGCCGCTGAGCTAAATCCCCAGCCCCAGTCAAATGCTCTTAAATCAAACTTGAGCAACTACACTTAGGGAAATTCCCTTTTAAAACCTTGTTCTGTACCTTGCTATAAGGCAAAGACTTACCTTTCCTATTCTTTAATATGAATTAGTAAATTTATTCAATCAGTTTATTAGAGAAGTACAGTTATATGGCTGTAACAGTATATAAAAATAGATCTGATATAAACATTTTATAATAGCTACCCCATTGGTTATACAGAAAATTTTAGTGATACATCTTGCTGGCAATTTAAATTGATTTCTGAAGTACAGTACTTATATCCAAAACTTTTTATTTATAATAGTGAATAGGAAACTCCTTATTCTTAAAAATAAATTAGTTCACCAGAAGCTAATTATGGATTAGTGAAAATGCTTGTGCCCTTAGAGCCTGAGAATGACAACAGGAGGCCACTTTACCATCAGCAGAAGCATGGCAAAGCAAGGTTTAGAGCAGTGGAGAGAGATTAACACGGAGCCTTTGTTTACATACAGAAGACAAGGACGTCATGCCAGAGGAGCTGCTAAGATTGGTTAAAGAGCTCGGGCTCTTCTTGTATCTGCTGAGCTGGTAACTGCTCTCTGATGCTGTATCTGTTTCTCTGTCATCACTCTACAAAACAGCATAGAACATGCACAGTATTTAAATTCAGAATGAGTCAAGGTTAGAATCTATATTTAGACAAAGATAATATCTTGGTATCCACTGGTCTATGACATTTCCCAAGGTCAAAGGATGCTAACACTAATTACCACAGAAAGGGATCCAGGATGACATGAGTGGTCTGCACTGGATCTACCATAAGGAGAAGGCACTGCTTAGCTGCCAGAATAACAAAGTGATTTTTCTACCTGCCAGGTGGCTCCAAGGTGCTATAGAAAACAGCACTATAGTGAGCTTTTTTGGTTACTTTTTTAATATTATGTATTTATGTTTTATATATATATATCCCAGATAACAAAAGGTTTAAGCATCTTGCCAAAACATAAAATATTATGCTTAATTCTGCTCGTTATTATCATAGCTCTAGCTTCCCTAAAAAAATCAGATCTTTTACTTGAGATACCATTAAGCCAGGAAAAAGAAATGCTAGTCTGATCTGTGTCAACCACACAGCATATCTAAATTCATTTAAAATTTTAAACTATTCTTTATGTATTCCTATAGCATTAGTGTGCTTATCTTTTTGGTGCTATAGGAAAGTATGTTAAATTACACATTCTACCCACATTGGATTTTAACACATTTCTTTAAAAACTAAAGATTAGTAAAATATTTATTTCAAATATGTGCCAAGAAATGTCTACCTGGGACAAGAAAGAAATGTTGCAATGACAAATTTTATTGTGTTTGTATCTAAAGTTTACTGGATGGCAGCCTACAGAATTCAAGATTCACAATGAGCTCCTTTGGGGTTAGAGTTCTTATGGAGTAGTTCACTGGCTCCTAGCGTTACAGAGGAGTAGTTAGTTCATGCCAGCGTATCCCATGACCATGCAATTATGCATAATGGATAGCTTTTAAAGACTCCCCACATGCTTAACAGTCCACTTCCTATATTTTAGCATATTAGCATATCAAATCGTTAGTGAATTTTTAGAAGGACATGACTGTCTTGTTGACCTGGAACGGTGTTTTTTTTTTACATAGTTGGCACTCAGCAAATATAAGTAATGCTGTCTCAAATAGACCATGGACAAGGGAGCGAGGCCTGATTCATCCCCACGTCCTTTATCATCCAGTTCACCCTCTGCACGTGGAAAGGTAAAATGATACACTTCAATACTGGCATCTCTGATACACAAATCCAAGTAATCTGAACTTCCTTCTTTGCAGGTTAAAATTCAATGGAGAAAAAAATGTAAAAACTAGAAATTGATATAATTTAACTCTTAAATTATTATATGGTTCATTCTTATGACCATCCAAGACCAAAGCAGAGCTACAGAGGTATAAAACCCCGGGAATTTCACAGGGTGGCTACTGTCGCCTTCCAGCTAATGAGTTAGATCTAAAATTGAGTGATTCATCCCAAATAAAACTATAATATGAGCTCTAAAATATATGCAAAGTCTGAATGTTTGCAAATACAGTTCATGGGGGTCCAGCGATCCACAGAAGGTGACCAGGATGGAGATATTTGTGATTTATATGATACCCAGAATTTTTCCTACATTCTGTCTACTGAAAGAATACTTGAGAATGCTTCTATTTCACCACTGGAAATTAGATCAAAAACAAAAACTGTAGCAGCAGTTAACATTTTTGGTGGCTACTCACTGTGATTTAGGGACTACGCTATGCATTACCCTACTGATTCCCCACAACCTCACTAGGTGGGTACCAGGACACCAGACTCAGGGAAGCTAAGGAATCTATCCATGATTGCACAGCAACTTAGTATCACAACCCTGACTGAGAATGTCTGACTCCAGGCCTCAGGGTCCTAACCTCTGACTGCAAGAACACAGGATCTTAAGCTCAAATATCCAATTTAAAATCCTAGATCTACTTTTTAGCTATTGCATGTTGACAAAGTGACTTAACTTCTCTGAAGGCCTTTCCTTTTTTTTAAGGTGGAGAAAACAGTACCTACTATATAGAGTTAGAGTTGGATGTTAGAGTCTGGTACAGAGTAGGTACTCAAAGAGTATAGTCATGTTCTTAGTTGACACAGAGATTATCAGCCTGGGAACCAAATCTTGGCTTCAGTCCTGGTCTAACCCCTTTCTGGCTGAGTAAGGTTATTTCATCTCTCATGGTCTCAGCTTCCTCAGCTGTAATATCTGGGGATAGTGATGGTGTCTACCTGTCATGGTTGTTGTACGATTAAATGACACAATAAATATAAAGTCCCTGGCACCCAAGAGATGCTCCTGAAAGCTTGCTGTGTCATTGTTACTTTTTACTTTAACAAATGTTTTCAAGGTAGTCAGGCTACCTGGATTAAGCCTTTACAAACCAACACTAGGCTACAGAGGGATAATTAATTCATGCCAACACATTTCTGCTTAGGTTTCTAATTTTGTACTGACTTTGAAACAAAAGTCACATTCTCAAATCTAGGCAATCTGACTTCACTGACCAAAAGAACTTATTTGAGTCAAATGAGACATGTCTTGTATCCCAGGACCAACAACACTGCCTCCATTGACTTGGAAGGCAAGGCTCAATCCTGCATTGGTCTTGACTACAGTGGAATGCAAACACACTGACCTGGGCATAGAAAATCTATCTATTTCCCTCCAGTTTTTGTCTGTCTGTCTGTCTGTCTGTCTGTCTGTCTTTTGACCCATGATCTTGCTCTGTAGTCCAGGCTGGCCTTGAACTCAGTATGTAGCCCACACTAGCCTTGAAATAGCAGTAATCCTCCTGCTTCAGTCTCCCAAGTACTGGGATTACAGACACGCTCCGTCATGACCACTGGCTCCATTTTTCTGAAGGTACAAAAGACAAACTTGCCTCATCTTGTAGAAATGCTGGAACAGACTTGCTCATCCTTTTGAGTTTCTCAGGGTTGGAAAACTGATTATCAGGTTGTGAAGGCACTGTAGAAACTAAACAGCAGCATTTCAATTTCAAAATTATTCTTACAAATTTCAGGCATTAGGCATAAATTGAAAACACACTTTTTTTTCATTTCTGAACAGACATGTTTTATAAAAAGGTTAAAGGCACAGTAGTTTACATGCACAGGATCATGAAGTAAGCAGCATGCAGATTTAATAAATTATATATAGAGAGAACTAGCAAGGAGTTGAACCAAATAAAAGTTTATTTGTTTATTTATTTATTTTGGTCTTTTTGAGACAGAGTCTTGCTATGCAGTTCAGGCTGGCCTTGAGCTCACTTTGTAGCCCAGGCTGGTCTCGAACTCGCAACGATCCTCCTGCCTCAGTCTCCCGAGGGCTGAAATTACAGGCATGTACCACCATGCCCAGCTAAAAGTTAATTTAAAAAATACTAGTTCTTATTGAATTAGAGATGGACTTACATTACATTAAAAATCTGTCAATGTGAACCGGTTTTACTTTTTTTCACATTAGATTTTTGAATGCCAAGTTCTATATTTATTGGTTCATCTCCTTGAGATGTATTATTAACATGCTACAAGCTGAAAAACTATTTCATCTGGATATTAAGGATCTTTGTACACAATTCAATAAAAGTATCCTTGACTACTGAGTGCCAAAGAGCAGGTTTATTTATTCAGTGACCAGGAGGGTTCCTTTTCTGATAGTGTTTCTCATTTAGAATTATGAAAGAGTATAATTTAAAAATTATTTTTGAAACTATAGGTCACTTAGGCACCTTTCTTAAAAGAGGGTTTTTAACATCCCAAGGCCAAGTTTAAACAGTTCAAGATAGAATAATTTAAGAATTTAATTTGAAAATATAGCATATATAGTATCTTCTTTCTGATGTAGTAAGTAGAAGACACCATAAGAAGATGAATTATTATTTTCATTTGCATATCTCTAGTTAGAAAACTTTTTCTTTGCCTACTAGTCAAAATGTCCAAGTTTTTCTTATGTTGAATCATAGCTCTTATACTGAAAGATCTCGCATTTCTTAAAACAGTTAGGAAAGTACCTGACACGTAGTAAGCTCTGTGAGATATTTTGAAAATAATTAATTAAATGTTATTGCATGGAAAAATTTTTAAAGTATACTGTGAACACAATATACATATATTAACTTGGCTTTATCATTAAAAGATATTAGGAAAATAGATAAAAATCAAGATATATTTCCATGTACAACACAAAAGACTCAAATTTGGCCCTTGACATTAGCTAAATTCACTTCAATGGAAAGAAATCTAATGAAAAAAAAGGAAATTTGAGTTACACACACTAAATACAATTTTCAGGCAGTAGGCAGAAACTGAAAACACACTTTTCTTTCATGTATGAACAGACATGTTTATAAAAAAGTTAAAGGCACAGTAATTCACATGCGTAGGATGTATCATTCTGCTTAAGTATACTCCAAAATTTACTCATAAAGTCTCATTAACATACCTATTTTAATTCATCACTTTCCAGTAAACAATTGTGTGTGTGCGTGCATGCATGTATGCATGTGTGTATACTGGAGTAAGCTATATTGGCAGTAGTATAAGATTATGTTACATAGTATGGTCCAGTGAGAATAAAAACTTTTTTGCTACAATTTAATATTATTTTCCAAGTTATTGTTGGATGATGGTATGCAAGTCAAAAACCCACTACTCAAATGGAGTCAATTTTACATTTATGAGCTTAAGTTATTTATATTTTGATCACGTGTTATGGTAATAATATATTCTTTACTGGTGGAAAGGCATTAAGAATCATTTTGGAAAATGTTAAAAAGATAAATTAATTTACTGTGTTCAGTACACAATTGGTCTACTTGTCTTGATCAATAACTGTCTGAGCCAATTAGGAGGCTGTGAACAAAGATATAGCTATATAGCCACGTGGTTCTGTAAGATTTTCTTTCACTCCTCAGGCTAAATGTTAAATAAAACATAGCAAGATAAAGTCAGATGTCCAAACTTGAACATATCCCAATTGAAAAGCAACTGGAAAACTTCATTTATCTAACACTTCTTAGAAGCAGAAGTCTTATATTGTTTGCATTAGTGATACTCACAAGGGCCAGGCCTGAAGTATCTTCTCTCCTAGGCAGCTCTTAAGAATTTATCAAGTCATGTGCCAAAGCTCAGCACCTTCTCCCGCCAGCAAGAAGAACTCATGAGCAAAGTCTCAGATTTCATACTAGATGTCACTGACTTCTTGCATCAGCACATTGTTTATCTAAGGACTCCTTCATTTAGCTGCTTGCCCCTTGAAGGCCTATTAGCACATCTGAAGGCTGTCAGGGAATTATTATTAAAAATACTGTGGAGCTGAGGGCAGGCGAGGTACGTACACCACTATCTTCATACCTCCAATGTGCGGGTTTATGAATGTGACTGAAAACGGGGAGCTGAGAAATCCCCCCACCTCTGCATGCTTTACTAGACCCTATGAGCATTTTAAACATCATTTGTCTTTAAAATAGTAGTCACAGCTAAGTAGAGGTTTAAGATTCCACTAATCTTAAAGTGGAACAGAAAAGAGGGAATAAATATTATCTTTGCATGGTGGTGGACATTAATTAGTTGATGGACCTTAATCACCACAGGTACACATTTATTTCTTAGATTCAGATGTTCACTTGCCTTTTATGTTGAATACTTGCTGCTGAAATAAAGCTTTGAGGTTTTAAACCTCAGAGTATGAGCCTCAGACATAAAATCTGCTTTCCTAGATAGGTAGAGAGGCAAATACGACAATATTACTTTTGCCAAAATACAGTTTTCTTGGGTCCCATTGGATTGAATATTGTAAATTGCTTCATGGCCACAAGCTTGTACAAGAGATCCAATACTCAAGGCCATACTGCAACATAGAAGCCAAATGAAATCAGAAGATGCCAACTTAATTTTAAGCAGACATAAAGAGCAGAGACTGACAAAAGTCAATAATACTCAGGAACAGCAATATAAACATAATATATATTTTAAATATTTAACTGTTCCTCAGTAGAACCATGAATTTTTTTATGTAGACAGTATTAATTTTTTTTTTTTTTTTCTGGTACTGGGAATCAAACTCACGACCTCGCGCTTGCCAGGCAGGTGCTGTGCCACTGAGCTAAATCCCCAGCCCTTATTTTTTTTTAATAAATCCTAATCAGAATGAAATAGTTTTGCAAGCTGCAGAAATTGCAATTTGCCGAATATTGCAGAAATTTAACAATAATAAATGCTGCATTATTAATGGGTTAGTTCTTGCAATATATTTAACACTATGCAAATAGAACATTTAGTCATTTTGAGAAAAATCCTGCTACTCACTTCCTGGTATGCATTCATTTGTATCTGGTTCCTGATCTGCCTTTTGATCTACTAAGAAGAGTAGCATTGAGAATAAATATCATTTTAACAGAAGGATTAAACAGACATGAAAGTAAACTCAAATGTCAGTTTCACAACTGAAGCTGCAGAATATATCTGACAGATTTTCAGCTTGCTTTCATCCGTATCCAAGTGTGACTCTTCATCAGCCTTTTTAAGGTCTCCTGTTCAACTGAAAACTAAGATCACAGGAGATGTGCAACCTCTGTCCTTTCATGTACTAAGCCATAGCACTGAAATTGGACATGAAGCTGAGATTCTTTTCTATAAAAGTAAAGACTTTTAGAGGGTTCTGTCATTACATTTTGTATAGGAAAACTAAGTGAATAACATGTTTATGATTATAGTGAAAGCAATTTAGAAAAATAAAAAGCAGGGTATAAATATAAGTTATTTATTTGCATAAATCCTGAACTACAACAATTGGATATTCTTCCACCCCTCGCCCCTCCAACACACTATCACCCTATCCCTTTAAAAACTGAACCCAGTGGTACACGATCATGGACAGCCTTAAAGATCTTTCGGCTCCTTATATTCAGAATCAATTAATTTCACTCTGTCTTAAGTTATTTGTATAAGCAGAGACTGGAATCCCCTACTCCTAGGACTTTTCTCTTTTGAAGGCTTTGCCGGTTATGCCCAATGATCTAAATGCTGAGACTTGAGACTCAAACACAGAAATAACTCAGCCCAGGAGCCCCCACAGGTCTTCCTTCCTTCAGAAGGAGTTCTGCAAGTCAGAGTAGTAAAAATCAGCTCATAACCCATAGAAATACAATTTTCTATTTATAGAAATTCTTGCTTCCCCAGGGTCTCTAATGAGATTCTCACAATGGTATCACCAGAAGCCTTAAAAACATACACACTATTTAATGCATCAAGTCAGAGCAGTTTTCATAATAACTTAGGCACTATCGGCCACATAGTAGCAAATGATGTTCTTCTATTTATCCAACAGCTGCATCCCAGTAACTGCTCCAATCACCCCGGCCAGAACTTAATACACACACAGACATGCAAATACATAAAGATATTTACCATCTTGAGCACTACGTACTAATTCTTCTGGCAGATTATCTACTTTTGCTTGATCTGTTCGGGAGAAATTAACAAATGGTTAACACGGCTGACCCATGGAGAGAAAAGAACAATGAGGTTGTCTCTGGAAGCTCCCGGAGTTGGAAGCAATTAGTCAAGATGCAGTGAGGGGTGCGACCAAGATGTCTTCCCCCAAATACTTTCTCTTTAGATTAGCTACTTGAGCGAGTGCCATAGCAGGAGCTCCCATTTCAGCCCTGATGCAGCTCACATCAGCACACTGCTGCACACAGACTCCCAAGGGTTAGATGGTTAGCTCAGAGCAAGCAATCTGCTGGCAACAGGAGGAAGCACAGGGCTGCAAACAGCCTCTCTATTCTTCTGGAGAGGGTACGATGTTAGGCATGACTAACACCTTCCCAAACCTATGGTCATTAACAGATATTTGTGTGAGTGCATCATCAATTGCGTATGCCTCTGGGAGGCTTGCTTGGGAAGTCAACTGAAGAGATGGAACTGGGGACCAGCTGCTAAGTGGAATTTTGGCAGGCTAGTGTGAGAGTGGTATTGGTATTTGGAAGGCAGCGTGCAGGAATACCCGTCAGCTGATAGTGATTTTTTTTTAACCCTACTCATTCCTGAATACTTTAAAGCTGCACCATGGAAATAGCTCTGTGCTTTACAGGCAAAGGGGTTTGCTAAACTGAACAATTGTTGCTGAGGGTTTTTTTTCCCCCTAGGGCTCATCACCAACATAAGGAAGAACAATCAGGGCTGTGCAACAAAGAACTAGACCTGCCTTCTCTGGGAAGCATTCAGGCAGATGTGGGGGCAAGCCACCTGTTGAGGAGGCATTAGAGGGAATTCTTGCATTAGGGAAAGGTTGAAATGGGTGATCTTCAAGGTCCTACTACCTCTAAGATTTGAAGCTCCCTGGGAGGGTTAGGACTGTATTCAAAATTGGGAATATTGTCTTTAGAACCCTGGAAACCTGTAAATTTCAGGAATTGTTAGGTGAAGTGGCTTTTACTTTTCCTTTTTAAACTCTAACTTTTCAGTCTCAATTGCAGGTGCCTAAAAACTATTTTAAATCTGAAAATAGTCAATTATCAATCATGAGACTGGCACACTGATTAGTGTTTACTTGGTTTTTCTCATGACACCAAAATCCCAGAGATATATTTCAGCTTCAAAATAGTAAGAACAAAATCCCTAGACGCTGTTTCTAAATCCATTTGACTGGCACAAAATTCCCTATATACATTCTGTTAGTACTTAAGAAATCCTTCACTAATTAAAGCAGCACCCAGTGCGGAACAAGGTACCTAAAGGATTGTGTCTTAGGAAATCTTTTTGTTTCCCCCTTTGGTTTTCTAAGATAGGATCTTACTGTATAGTTCAGGCTGCCCCTGAACTCACTATGTAGCTCAGGCTGGCAATGAACTTTTGGCAGTTCTCCTGCCTCAGCCTCCTTTGTGCTGGGATTACAGGCTTGTGCCACCATGCTCGGTATGTTAGATAATCTTTGGGCTTATAGTCCTAATATCCAAAAGAAATGTGTGAATAGAAAAGAAGGAATAAAAGAAAGCAAAAGTCCCTGAAGCCAGATACTAACTCACTCCCTATCATAAAAATTCACTGGACACCAAACACTGTTATATTATAATGTGGTAAATTCATAAATGCTGCTGACAGTTGTCTGTCAACTTGAGTCTCAGGTCTGCTCTGTGATATAAGTAAGCTACTTTACTTCTCTGAGCTTCATTTTCTTTTTATAAAATAAGGATAACAATTCTCTCACAGGGTTTTGCTGTGGTAGTTAAATGAGACAAAACATGTAAAACTCTTAGACAATTTTTGGCACAGAGTATTCAGTAAGTGTCACCTATTACTATTAGTTCTACTAGTACTATTAGCTACCATAGTCCTTTATAACTCACTGTACTTGAGTAAACACTCAAACGTCAATGCTTTTATTTTAGGGAAAACTAGTATTTTAGTAAGCAAACCTCATGCATTAATTTAAAAGCAAAATTCCACAGTGCTTGAGGGTGAGCCTCTCCAGCACACCTGGGAAGGTTATCGCCACCTGTGAACCCTTGTGTTAGGGGTCTCGGTGCATGCGCACATGCAGTGAGGCCAGAGAAGAGCACACAAGCATTTCTAAGCTTAGGTGAGGCATGGACAGTGGGGCGAACTTTATTCTCACTTGATGAATCTGATGAAATGTCTTCTAGACTTTTGGAAGGCATTTTTCTAGCAGCACTCCTTTCCAAAGGTTTCAAAACGGGATGGGGTTCTTCTTCTGAACCTGTTACAAGACAAAACCGATGAACGCTGCACAATACAAAAGAAAAACACAATCTTTTAATAACTATTGAACCCTGAAGTGGTAGGTTGAAAAGAGAAATTATGCAGCAGCCTCCCTACTTTTATTTGCTCTAAGTACTTCACAAAAGAAAGTAAAATTTCTCCACTGTTAACATTTCCTTTCAATTTTTTGGTTGTTGCTTGTTTTTTTTGATGCTTGTGATCAAGCCCAGAGCCTTGTATATGCTAGGTGAATGTTCTACTACGGAGCTACACCACCAGACCTTTAATATACCCTTGAAAAAAATAATTTACCTGGTCAAGAAATAGATGCAAACATAAACTATTATAGAAACAAGATTATCACATTAATAAAAACATCGTCTTCTAGGGGTTTACACCTCTATTTTAGGATCATGATTTATTTTGTGCCAGACTTTGAATGTTCCCCCTTAACATTCTATCTTTTGAAGCAGCCACTAAGTGATTTTAAAAACATTTGAAAAATTAGTTGAAGACTATGGAGGGAAGGATTCAGATGTTTAACATCTGTGTACAAATGGATCACAGATGCGGGCTTCTCCAGATAATAGATATAATCTTTCTTGATTTGGGGATTTAGTAAAATTTGCAAAAAAATTTTGGTAAATAAATGGATAATAAAATTTTATTTAATGAAGGCATTTAAAAGGTGACAGGGAGAACTTATCATTTACTAATACTTTTATTTTATAAAAGAAAAAGAAATTCTAGAACCAAGAGAAATAACAAGGGGTAATCTCTGAATAAGAACAATCCTTAAACTTTATAGAAAAATTCTATAAACTGTCCTTAAAATTTTCATTTTGACAGTGAAAACTTCATCATGCATAGGCCCTATTCTAAATATTGACATTTATCATTGTTTGTTCCTGGTGCCTCGACAGTGATTGACCATAGACATTTTAAAACCTTTGCAGAATCAGTGAATGATTCAATGAATGAATAAATGAATTTCAGAACCCCTTATCTCAACAATAATTTCCTGAAATGTATTTTAGTTTTGCTTAACATTAATGTACATTTCACAGAAAATTGATTCTAAGATAAATTAGATTTGGGGTGTTTTTTTGTTCAAATTTAAGAGGTGAACTTTATTCTCACACTAACTTTGCCAGTTTTAAAAAAAATAATATTTGAGGATGGGGGTATAAAACCATGACCGCAGCATTTTATATATCTTATTTGACCTATAATTTTAACATATCTTCTCTCAGCACTGTCTAGGTGATCATTTAATACTATATTTTAAAGATAAGCTTTTGTTGCTCAATCAGTGATGCTAGGACACTATATGCATGCCTATATGAATTAGGTGACATTGTTTAAAGAAAACACAAATTTGCAAGTCTCCTATGGGTCAGTTTATGGTAGCAATGCACAGGGCAATTTAGTAAGGAAATACCTCAACCAGGTTAACGTGCTAGCTTTATTCTTGTATATGTTCAGTTTCAGACATGTATTTCTTTAACTTCAACTCGGCTAATTAGGATTAAAATAGATTCCTTGGTCAGTGCTGAAGCTACTTGTAAAGGAACTCAAGTCTCATAAGTCAGCCACCCAGAAAAACTTATCTAGTTTCATAGAGATTGTAGTCTATTAGTTGTGCAACTTTGGTTGTCCAACTTTGGTTAAAAAGTTCCAGCCAGAGAGTATCTTCTATTATTTCATCACTTGAATCAGGCAACCTCTCATGCCAATGTACTCTGTTAAAATACCAAGAGCTGACCAGAACAGCAAACTGAGATAAGCCTTATGGCTTGGCTGAAACCAGTCCCCCCATGCCCACTTAGATGAATGTGGCAATTGAACAGAGTCTTTATACAATTTAGCCAAGGCTAAAGCCAAAAAAATACAACAGCCAGGCAATGCATTTAGGTGGAACCACATGAAGTCATCTGATCAAAGTCAGAATCTAGAAGGGGAGATTCTGCAGATAACTAAAAATGAAGGGAGAGTGGCAACACAGATACCACAGCACAAAGTATCTGAAGGAAGGGAAGTTCTACCCCTATATTTCGCCCCTGATATTTAGCCACAGCTGTAGTAAAATGCTGCTCTTAAATGGGAAATCTTTGCCCATTTGTGGCACTTTCTTGGCACACTCTTACTAGAGACTTCTAAATGGATTGCCAATTAAGAAATTCTAATTATTTTCAGGAGGAAGGCTGGGGATTTAGCTCAGCAGCACAGCGCCTGCCCAGCAAGCTCAAAGTCATGAGTTCGGTTCCGATACCGGGGGGAAAAAAAAAAAAAAAAAAAAAAAAAAGTCATCAGTTCCATTCATTTTTCTTGAAATGATCTCAAGTCACTGTCATTATACCTGAATGTAAACCTCAAAGTTTATTTTAAAAAATTGTTTATGTAA